GAGTTTGCATGTCAAACTTGGTACGCTTGAGTAGAAACCAAGTGCTTTCTGATACTTTAAATACAGCATTTATGAAAATACACACAACTAGCATAACTGACACGAGTGGTCAGCCTGTCCTTCAGCTTTCTATGTTCATTTTGGCTCATGGGGTGGAAACTAGTCTCTTCCTCTCTGCTCTGGCATTTGCTGCTACACCAAATCTGCTGTGACGCTGCTGAGCTTCTCGTTAGGATCTGCTGTGGGTGTGTTTGCTTCACACTAGTAGATTTCCGCTTCAGGAGGACATGCAGATGTCTAGGGTTGAACTGCTGTTGGATTCTCCAGATTGACTCACCAGTCTTCCCGTTGAATTCCCAGATGCTTTCAGGGGTGCTTAATTGGAAGGTGTCTCATTTCCTGCCTGATGCTTCTCTTGGTCTTCGGTTCTTACAGGTAATGCACAGTTTGCACAAGTACAGTGCCTGAGATGCTGCTGGGTCTAGCTTTATCTTTGGGAGCAGTGTGACCCATCAAGGCCTCTGAGCCGTCATTTCCCATTCTTGCCTTCTGACAAAATGTTAATTGCATAACACATGCCACTCAAGGATGACATGCTGTTTCTCCTAAGATCTCTGTTTGTATGAAACCCTGTTGGAAGTGTCACACAGGATCACAACATAGTAAGCAATAAATATCTAGGGCTCTTAGTCATTTCCTGCATTATACCAGAGTTTGTGTGGCTTACAAGGGTTTTGGTATTACTCTCTGGTGCCACACTGAAAGGTATAGAGAAAGTAGTACTTCTTCACATCAGTTTCCATATTTCCATCAGTCCACTGTCCGGTTACGCATCCTTGTAAGACAATACCCTGTTTCACAAGGGTTTGGGCCTGTGACAGTTTCAGTTAGGGTTCTGTAGAAATAGAAGAGGTTCCACAAGGTGTGCCAGTGTATGCTTTCAAATGCTTTTGAAAGTTAATTGAAACATATGTGTTCTGATATTATTGTTGTTCTTGTAAATATTTGGTATAGGCAGAATCCATTCAACTTTCTCTACCCTAAGTTTTGTGACCTCTACTTTTTTTGTCCTTCATAGTATCACACTTTGGGTGGCTTTTTCATGTAGTAGTCAGGAGCTGTTGCTCCCACTGACTTTGCTAAAGTGTGACGATACAGGGTGTATGAAGGACTGTAAGCATTTGACTGAAATCTTGCTTTTCTTTAGCTCTTTGATCACTTATCATACTTCTGATGTCTGATCAATGTCGATATTCAGTAATCTAAATTTGCATTTTGCTTTTAAATCTGGTCCTGAGGTGGTCTTAGGTTCTGGAGAACTTCTTCAAAACCTTTCCTCTTGTTTTCTCCTCAAAAGAGAAGTTGTATTTTCTAGGCCCAATTGTTCTTTTTTTTTTTTTTTCCCCTGAAGTTTCCAGGTAAGGATGTGTGAATTCCTACTGCAGCAGCGGTCTTAGTTTCAGCTAGTAAGTTTTTAATGTGTTTTTGTTTTTTTTCCTCACAGTCCGATCTTGTGCTTCCTTTCTGTGTTTTCCAGTGTTTTATTAGCCAGGGTTCTTGGGATTTTCTGTTCAGTGTTGTTCCTTCCCCTGGTAAAGTGCCTCCTCTGATAGCTTATTGAAATATCATCTGCCTGCAGGTATTTAGTCAGAACAGTTAGAATTTGAGTGATTTTTTTTTTTTTTTTTTTTTTTTTTTTCCCTGGAACTATTGCCTCTCTTCAGATTTAGCTTGTGTTGACCATGCTGGGCTTCAGGACTGTTCCTTAGTTCAAGCTCAATTTACTGTGCATGCTTCAGTGCTCAATTTGTGCAATTGATTTTGTTGGCTAGATTCAGTTTACAGTTGTGTTTCTTAATTATAGTGGTAGTTGGTTTTTATTTTGTTTTGTTTTTCTTCAATTGCTCATACGTACTTGGTTTATTCCTTAATCTTACATAGTTTATCTGAATCTTATCTTGGTGCAGTATATTTTAATTTTGCTCTTGGACAAAATTTGTTTAATTTGCTTATGCTACTCTGAGAGAATGGGATACTTAAAAAGAATTAGTTTTGAGTGAAATTCAGTAACTTCCCTTGCTGTTTTGGTCAATGGTACTTGACCAAAATGGCTTTTCCTAAGTGTGGTGTGTGGTTTCGGTGTTGTTTAGAAACTTATGAGTAAATGTTTGTATCGTACCTTGAAGGCATTTAACTCCTTCTGTATTCTTTTCACTGTTTCTCCATTTCATATAGTCTGCTGTGATTGTCATGTAATATAAAATTTATTCTCTTCGGATGTATGAGATTACTTGTTTGGGGTTTTGTCCAAATATCAATTTCCTCTGTGTTGTAAGCCTTCACATACCTGTAACTGGCTAGTGTGTCCTGTCAGTGCTCCTCTCTTTACTTGGCCTTTTCCTACTTCTCCTAGGTTTTTGTTTCAGGTCAAATTGTGGTGGGTTTGTTTCTGGGAATGTGGTGTTTGGATGTATTATTGTGTGAGCGTCTGCACCTGGACGTTTAATCATCTGCAAACTGCACCTCAGTGGAAATAAAGGCAATTCTTTTGCTGTGTGTGTATATATCTATATGTGTCAAAGTACACAGATTGTAATGCACATTTCCTCTCTGAAGAGAAAAACAGCAAAGTTTTATTTTAAATATTGCTTGGTAGATAACACTGCTAAAATATTTTAGATATTGCTTGGTAGATAACACTGACAAGCGTGGCTGCGTTTTGCAATGATTAGGGCCCTTCAGCTTAGCAGATGAAGTTACAAAAAGTTCTAAAAGCTGAAAGTCTAAACCCAGTCAGATTTAGGTTCAAGTTAAGATACAGATTTTTACAGGGATGGTCATGAGTTGTTTGCATGCCCTGATAAGTACTGTGGTAGATGTTCAATGGCTGATTACTTTTAAGATGTTTGGAAGATAATCCAATTCAGTCACAGTTGTTAAACTTGAAGGGCGGATGAAAACTTTGTCCTTTGTTGCTGCTTTATCCTGCAGTAGTCAAGCCAGATCATCACATTGGCCCTTTCCAAGCTGTTTTTTAAAGATTAGTGCTTAGGTTTTCGATCTTCTCTTGTTTGTATTCATCAGTCTGAAGACAGAAAAAGTAAATACTGTCAGTTTCACTGAACATGTTTGAAAACTCGCCTGCAAAGGGAACAGTGGCTGGGCAAATCAGTGCTCTATGAAACTGATTGATAGAAAAAGAGAGCAGCAAAGGCAGGCTTTGGGGAAGATTGAACAAATCTTAGGCTTTAATTTCAGAGGAAGAATTTGTTTTTCTTGATACCACATTACATGTCTATGTAAGCCAACCCTCATGGGAAGACAATTACCAAATAAGTATTTAGAGGTTATTGTGCTTTTGTTCATATGAATGAACACCTATAAAACAAAACTGTATAACCCTTCATAAAGTTCCAAGAGTGGTATTCACAATGAAGAGGTTATCTACAGAAGTATGAAGATACTATTACCAGGATTGGAAGTTTAACATTGTAATTATTTTTGAGTGGTGTATAATATTTACTATTTGTTTAGTCTCTCCCCTGAAATGAAATAAATAGAATTGACCCTCCCCTTTAAAAGGATTTGTCCATAGTATTAAGCATGGAGTTCGGAGTATTGCTTTACATAGAGTTTTGACAGACAAGTAATTGGATGACCTCATCCTGTAATAACAAATGAAAGAGCTAATCACAGGGTGCTTTCTCAGAAATCAGCTGACCTCTATAATCCAAATAGGTCCCTTGGATGTTTCAGATTTATGACCAGAGCTCATTGTGTGTCCATCTCACTTTAGTGGAAAGAGAACGGATCATCAGCACACTTCAAATATCGGGAACCGTTTAAGCAGTGTGTGTTTAATTCTGTGTTGGAATGTCACGATTCTTGCTCATGGCACGTGAGATGCAAGTTTTCCTGGTTGCGGTGTTGAGCTCATACTCAAATAGACTGCTGACATCCGTGGGGCTTTTTGAGTGATAGCTCATGAGCGTGACTCCGAGTCACAGTCTGACCTGTAATAAATCTTAGCTCTTTTAGAGGGTGTGCTTTTGTGTTTGCTCTATGTGCTAAAAAGATGTATGCTGTTGGTTTAGGGACTTTTAAGATAAAAATATCTTAACAGAAGGTGTTTTGAGAGACTGTCAGGCTCTAGATTATATTGGTATAGAGCTGGGAGAAGGATGTGGCAGGGCAGGGCTCGTCTCTCAGGAGCCAGGTGAGTAACACATGCTTGTGGTCTGGCAAACTGGAGGAGCGGAGGGTGTCTCTGGGTGGCAGTACCAGGCACGACAATGGCACCAACTTCCTTCCAGCTCTAGACAAGGTTTGATGCAAGTTGCCTATGACACTGAAAAATGGCTGTATCACAGGTCCCTGGTGTGTGCTGAAAGCACCTCAAGTCTGAGGACTGTGTGTTAAAGCTGAATGGGAAGTGTCACTATCTGATATTGTCCTGAGCTTTTTGATAGTGTTTGCTGTGCTACAAAGCTGTGGTTGCTGCTGATTTTTGAGGTCTGAAGTGTCATTTATTATCATTCATAAACAGTAAATAAATTGGCTTTGGTGTTTTAATAAGGGGCGCTAGAGGTAGTATGTAATCCAGATCTTCACTCTAGAATACGCAATCCAATTTAGTTTGAGAACTCTGTGTATTTGAGCAGGTAAAACACTGCAGGCTCACAATCAATCATAAGATTGCTGCCAGGAAGACTGTAGAAAGGTGATGAAGACTGCTTGATCTTTGTGTGTTTTATTTAAATGAAAGTGTGACTTTTTGTGAAAGCGGATTAGTGGTTGTCAGTAAGAAAATCCTTTTGTAATAAAAAAGATTATTTGTGTGTAAGGTGCATAAACTTGCTTTTCCTTTAAAAACACCAATAATTTGTGTTTTGCAAAGAAACTTGCAAATTCTTACAAAAGATTTAAAATAATCTACTACTTGGATTTTAAAAGAAAGAAAAGAAAGAGGGAGGAATATTCCTGCAGCAAAGATCTGCGCCATGGATATCCGAACATCTGAAAACATCGTGACTTATTATGAGTATTTGGGTCCATATACTCTGAAGTGTGTGTGTTTTCAGTGTGGTGACTTAGAACATAACAAGTTGATTCTTCTGCAGGTCATCCCTTGGTTTCATTACCATTTGTGGGAAATTTGTAATCAGTCTGGACTGTAAGCCATCTGAAATGCTGGTCTCCAAAGAGCAGAGAGTGCAGTGGTGCTTGGAAGAGTCTTAACTGACTGAATCAATTGGCTTAGTTTTCAAATCAAGATGACTTGTCTGTCTTGAAAACATCCTTTGGTCATATAGAAATAGTTTGGCTTAAAGGGGGTCTGTGTTATGCAGGAGGTCAGGCTTCCTGTGGTCATAATCCCTTCTAGCAAAAACCAGTTTGAAAATTGGTTGCTAGTGTAAGGGTACCAGTACAGTACATCATAATTTAGTGCATGGATACAGACTACTGATGTGTGTACTTAAAACAAAATGTGAGGCACAGTGGTCAGATAAGTAAAATGTAGTGTAATTTCTTCCTCCAGCATAAATTGTATCAGGTAATCCCTTTACAACTTTTATTCAAAAAGTTGTGTCAAACAAAATGAAGGCATTACCCCTCCCTTTTCCCTCCTGCCCCCATATGTAGGTCTGATTGCTCTAGACGTTTGGCGTGTGTGTCTGATGGGGCTGTTCCTTGATATAAGGTTACCTGTGCTCAAGTGCCTGCTGGATCGGGGCTGTCATCAGTTAGCCAGATGCTAATCCCAGAAACTTTAACACGTGCTTTAAACCTTTGATCATGAAAACTGCTTGCTTGAACAAGGGCTTGCAGATTAAGTATTTTTACATTGCAAATTCCTTCCCTTATTTCACTATTTAGTCAGAAACCTGATGAAATAATGAGGAAAAAGTTTGCAATCTGTAGAGTCACAGGATTTGATGCCTGGATAATTCACTGGCTCTTGCCCAAGGACCAGTCTAATCTAAGGAATATGATTCTTTGTTGCCTGTTCTGTTTCTATCGAAACTTACAGTTACGTATTTCTTAATTGTGTCTCAAAAGGTACTTTCCTATACGAAGAATTAATGAACAGTATTAAAATAAATGGTTATACTTTTTTTAAAACTTTATTATCACTTACTGTAGAAATTCCTCAGAGAGATTATCAGTTTGAACTGCTGTGATTTCATTCTGGTTTCATCACATTGTCTGCATTACAAAGAAAACCCTAAACACCCAAACCCAAAAAACCAACACTAACCTACAATGCAAAGTGGAACAGTTCCTGAAGGAGAGCAGTCAGGGGTCTTGCATGATTGCAAGAGTAAATATTAATTTGCTTTAATGTATATAAAGCCACCTAAATTATTTTTTAATATCACATGTATGATCTATCAGAACAGCTGTTTCGTGATGTAAGTAAAATTCTACTGATAAACTGTCTGTTGCAATTATCTTGGCAAGCTAAACTGAATTTCCATGGGGTCTTCTGAAGTTCTGTGAATTTTCTTCCTTTTAACCTCACTGCATGGTTATTTCTACAACCCATTTCCATTGCTGAAAAGGCACTGGACAATTTCTACTTACTGTACCCGTGGAAAGTATTCTTTCTTTTCTTTTCCTTAACTACCTCTTATCTGTTGTTTCAGTGCTGGCTAATCTCTTTAGTTTTCAGGGTTTTTTTATAGAGTTCTCAACTTTTCTTGAATACATAGCTCTACCTTACGTTGTTTCGGTTTGGTGGGACAGGGGGATGCTCCTCTCCTATCTCCCACATACTGGGGAGAAGGAGGTAGGATGGGAAGCCTCTCTTAGCTTGATGTTGCTGCACAAGTCAGTAGGTTTGTTCTGGCTTCCTGACCTTACCTGTGTATCCCAGTTTTTACAGCTGCAGCACCGTCCCAGAACTAGTTGCAGAATTGGTTGGCAGGACCACCCAGACACCAACAGATTTGCAAGTATAGCAGGAGGAAAGAAACAAGCATATTTTTAGAGATTATAGGGACTTAACAGTGTATCTGTACCTCAGAGAAGATTACATTTGGCCAGCTTACAATTTTATTTAGATATTACATCATGCCTATTGCATGTTTAGTACTGTCAGTAGACATGTGAACCTGCAAAGCATGAAGAATCTTTGGCATAAGCCCTGCTACGTTTGCAGCAAACCCAAATGATTAACGCGGTGCAGTGTCTGGCTTGGTCTGCTCAACTCCAGTTGAGAAATACTCTTGAGCTCGCTAGAACCTTTAAGCATTTGAAGATCTTTGCCCATGGTTATAGCACACAAGTGCTTTCTGGGCCAGGACTGTACTGGTTTGGTGAAGCTAGAATGAAGAGTGTATTTAGCAGAAAAAAAAAAGTTTAAAGGAGCATTGTAGCCTACTTCAGTCTCGTGGTTTGAAAGGAGTCAAGGTGTATCTAGGAGGGCTGGTGGAGGATTAGAGGCAGTTTGTTAATGTACACCAGTACTCAAAATGCATGAGAGATGAGGGTTTAAGGTGGCAATAGAACAGCTAAAGCTAGTTAGACTGAACATTGGGATATGTTACATTAATATTTTCTGTTCATATCCTGTGATAGGCAGATAGCTCTCTAACACTGCTTACTAATGACCTAATGTTGTGTTCAAGTTTTTCTTGTGTATTTCAGAATTCTTGGGTTAAAAAGTGGTGGGTATTAATGCGTTGGGCAGGAGGAGACTACATTTGATCTTGCCTGTGAAGATCTGTATAAACCAAAATACAAATACAGAACACAGAATGGGCAAACACAAAATCACTCGTAGGTGGGGTATTTCCAAATATCAGTTTCAGTTCAGATTTAAGGGATCTACTAAGATGGAAAATAGGTAGTGCTTTTAAATCTTTGTGATGCATAAAGCAAATCTGAAAGAAGAACAGCGAGGGGGACAGTCTTCTGTACCAGTTGTGACAGTGCAGAATGAGGAACTGATAAAAATATGACAGTAAAGAATGAAAACAGCCACTTGAAAGGAGAAGAGGATTTTAACAGGAGTGTTTTAGAATTTTTTTTTGGTGCATGCAGTTTATTTCAGCTGTTTAAAAACACCTAATTTCTACCCCACTAAATATTTGCAGAAAAAAAAATTTTTTTTTGAAAGATCATCCATCTGTTTTCAATATGTGAATTTGCTGAGAACTTTAACATGAGAACTTAAATCTGACATCTCTGCAGGGGAGATGAAAAAATATTTGCAGTGGTGAAAAGGGGGGAAACTTTCACATATTTTAAAAATAAACGAGGCTTCCTGGTTAGAGTTTTGGTTTGTGTGTAACTTCTTACTAAAGCAGGATCTAGAATTTGTGGAAATATAGTTAGGAATTGTTGGTAGCATTTGGTATGCAACTGCTGATGGCCTCCTTGGTAGCAAAGAATTTTCAGAGCTACTTCGGGAAAACAGTATGGCTTTGTCTTTCTTCAGTATCCTTTCAGCTGAAAAACGGCTTGACTGTTAGGCATTTTGATCCCTTCTGCCCTAAAGAATCAGACCATTAAGTAGCAAAATTATTTTTGCTGGAAGTCTTAGTTTTTCCTAGCTGGTATTTGAGTCTTGAACCTTTCTAGGGTGTATCGTCTGGGCTTTTTTGTTGGTGTTGGGGGGGGTGTGGTGTTATGTTTTTTGTCTATTTTCCCCGGGGCTCCAACAGTATATGAAACACAGGAAAGGACTAAATAACTTTTAAACAGGGTTTGCTAAAATGGCCACCTTCTGTTTTGCTTCAGTTTGTCTGCTTTTATGCTAGGATCAATGTGTATTTCAGAGTTGAAGTCTTGTTGAAACTGAAGATTTCCCTGTTGAGTCACTTCCTTTCTTTACAGCAAGAGGCAACAAGTGTGCGGATGAATGTATAGGTCTGCATTTTGCTGTGGAGGGTGAAATGGAAGCATGGGGGTGGGGGGTAGGGGGGCTGTGGAGCCCCCTTCTGTGGAATCTTGGGTAATCCATCACTGTGTATTCATCAGAATTTCTTGTTCCGTAGGTCTCCTTGTGGGTACTCTTGATGTTGTGTTGGACTCCAGTGCCAGAGTGGCACCGTATCGAATCCTCTACCAAGCACCAGACTCCTTGGTCTATTGGACTATTGCCTGTGGTAAGGACAAACATACTGTCATGCGCATTTTTATTCTTCCTGGATACTGTGCAACAGAACTAATAGAGCATCCTGAGTGCTGAACACAGTCATTTCAGGACAAATAAATGGGTCAGGATGAAAACCTGCTCTAGTGGTTAAATTAAGAAGCTCCAGAGCTTCAAATACTCAAGACCTTGAACACCAGCATGTGTGTGTGTTATGCACAATGACTGAGTAAAGCCAGAAGTGACCAGGGAGCAGGGACAGAAGCCTCTGTTATTTCCCACCCTTCATCTCCCAAAGATGTTTCCAGACAAGCGGTCTAGTATCGATCCCACCTCCTTGCATGCCACCTCTTCTACATGCCCATGGCTCACTCCTACAGCACTTCTAAAGTGCAGCATTTCTTGTGACGGGGTATCTCTAAAGAGTATGGTACACCCAGGAGTACCTAGGTTATAGACCCCAAATTCCCCAGACAGGGCATCTGGCTTCCCTTGAAATGGAAACCAGGAAGGTAAGTGCAACCCCAGCTCTCACCTGAGTACTGAATAGCAGTATGGCATTTCCTGGGTAGTGAGCTTGGTCTCCTCCAGGATAAATACCATGTAGATTTCAGGGATGCTCACCTCCTGAACGTTTATTTCGGATGGTGTGTTTGCCTTATAAATATGATGTACTTAGAAATTCAGAAAGATGCTAGCTAGGTTAAATACAGAAGTGTGTGTTCTTATATAGATGCAACTGCTCTTAAGAGTTTTTGTCTTTAAGGCTCAAACTTTGACAGATCTAACTGTAAGACTTTCTTCTATCATTATAGTAGTTGGTGAAATCAATGAAGTTGACATTTTGGTACATTAAATAGGATTCTTGCATGCATCAGATCCTGTAAATACTAAATGCTTATTTTTGTGGTCAGGTACCTATTGTAAGTAACATAAAGCAGTATGTAGTTGGTTTCTGGTTCTGTTTGCTGGTTCTGAAAATAGTGACTGAAGCTGGATGCAGAAGGTTGAGGTTATTTAGCTTTGATTGGCCAAGCTCGTAAGGTCAGAGCCTCAGTTTGGTAGTGTTGCTCTTCCGTTGTAGCAAATGGAGTCTTTTGAATGCAGCTGCTGTAGTTCTAAAGTTTCAAACACTGCTTTAGGCAGCGGCCAGAACTCTGCTCATTTGAAAGAAAATTGAGAGAGAACAAATGAAAAGTGCATACATGCCTGTCGTCTCTTCAGTAGACTGGTAACTTCCAGTGCACCCCCAATGCTGCCTGACATTCAAAAACAGTAGTTAATGAAGCTGCAGACTTCTGGCCTAACAGTGCCCTCTCTGTGCCCATTCTTCCAATAACATTTGACATTTAGATTATTTCAATGACTTTTCCTCCAGACAAATCTTCTCTCTTGGGAAGGGGAGGAGGGACGGATGAAGGTTTGCCATAGATCTAATAATTTTAGCAATTCAAAGCAGGTTCTATTCTTATGAGCATATGATTTGTGTGTCTGACAAAGGTGATATCAAAGTTGTGTCGTGTTCTGAATGCAACAGTAAATTTTTTAATAGCTTATCTTTGCCCAAGTATTTCTTACTTTTGATAGTATCAGACCTGAAAGAAGGCAGCAATTTAAACAGCCCATTTCCCCTCTACACCTATTAGTGCCAATTCACTGAAGATTTAAAATTCGTATAACATAACTTGCTTTTAGTGACAGCTAATAGTAAAACCAGGTATTAACGAAATTGTCGATATTATGAAGGTCATTGCCAAATCTTCATTGAACTGCTTGCTTTGTACTGCCAGCTACTCTGCTGTGACCATGAGTAATGGGACTTTGCGTGTCAGCTTTCCATGGATCTTATTCATGAGAAGGAAGGGTAAAAGGACTTAATAGTACATTTATTTACACTGTTTATACACAAGCAGAGGTAGTTGCAAATGCACCTACAATCCCCTTCAACCAAATGTCAGTACACAGCAATTAGGAAGAACCTCTGTCCCATAAACTTGAAAGGGAGCAACTAAGGGCACAAATTTTCTTGCTGTTTGTAGACTCCCTTCCAAAGAAAATAGCATATCCCAAAGCTCTTAACAAAACAGTGTTGAGTCAAAGACACTTGTACTATGCACATGTTCAGAAATGAATTTTTAAGACTGTGGAAATAGGCCAAGTGACTTTGCTTTACGTGCATTTGCAGGTTTTTTGCATGACACCTATAGATAATTACTATAATTTTATACCTACAATGTGTGTCTTCTGATAACCAGGGGCACAAAATTGGAGGCAGATAATTTATGGCCCCAGAATAAACAAATGTACCATATGTGTAGAAATTTATGCTGCTGCTGAACTGTGAGTGTTTTGTTTCTCTTCTGTGACAGACACTGCAGGTTTTATGTAGAAATACGGTACTGTGTTTACATTTAAGCTAGTTTTAATAAGCATGCTCTTCAATTATGAATCTTAACCCTAATTGGAATTACTAAAGTAGTTAATATAAGTATCTGTGCTTCCATTTTGTGGAGTGTTTCTTGAATTTTTACTCTCCTAATATCTAGCTGGTTGACTGGGTTAGTTATTTTTGTTAAATTAGACTGTGCTAGCTTAGTCTCGTCACCGGGAGGGAATAGTGTGCCTCTTGCAGGGAGGTAAAATTTTACAGAGAGCGAATTATTTGTCTACACAACCTTGAAGCTGAGCAGCCAAGTGATGCCTAAGGCTCTGCGCTGTGGTTATTTTATAAATTTGCAACTAAAGCAAATCCTTCTGAACGGATCAAGGGCTGTTGCCATTACACAGGTTACTAAAGGATTTGGCTGCATTTAGCTATGCAACTCTGATTTGTCCTGCATTTTACAGCTATCCCTCCGTATTCCCTAGGGGTAGACTGCTGGTTATTTGGTACTTGTAATCACTTATTTTTACAGAAATTTGTCGTATTTTCCTCTGCCTTCCATAAAGCGATAATCTCCATCTTCAGTAAGTAGCTATACAGAGTGACTGGAAGAAATGTGACTATTTCCTGCTTTGTTCGTGCTGTGTGACATTTGGTCTTGTTCTGTACAAGATTATTCTGAGGGTAAAAAATAATCCAAGGGGGTTTATTTGCTCTAAAGTGACTATTTAAGTTCTGTTTAGACCCCAGATTTGTTTATAATTAATTTTGGATGTGAATTTTCTTGGTTATTAATTCTATTAAATCCAGACTGTATGAGGATTCTAGCTGGTAGATCTGAGGCTTTATGGCTCTATAAAGGAGGCCTGTTAACGGCACATTCTCCAGAGCAGTATTGTGTTGAAGATGTCATGGGTTAGAGTTCTGTCTGTTGAACTATACAGGAAAGATGTTACTGGTAACTTTTCAAGAACAGTTTTAAGCATATTAATTTTGTAATGGTCTAGAAATCCAAAATGTTGTATGGGATCAGCCTGTGAATCAGTGTATTGTAATAGCCCTTCTGTGTCCTGTGTCAGTGTCCCTCCCCAGTCTGCTGGTGCTTAATTTAGGGGGAAAAATGATGGTATATGTAAACTCTGTTTGGAAATGAACAACTTTTTTTAGATCCTTCTCCACCTACAAAATTTGTGTGCTTTTCAGGTATAGAACCATTGCTGTAGGTTTTTTTTTTGTGATAAGGGTGATTATGTGCATTTTCACAGAAGTTTCTGAATCTGTATTTCACATGCGGAAAAATAAAATTATGGATCCTTTTAAAGCACCAACCGTGAAGTTTTATTACATGCCTTGGTTTTCAGAAAAGCCCATGTGCTTTCGTTAACAAAGCTATAAGTTTTAGTTAGAGTCCTGTTGAGTTTACCAGCCATAACTATTTTCTCCTTCCTCCCTGTGCAATTTGAGGTTTTGCCACTCCGCTCCTGAGCCTGCAATTGCTGGCAAGAACAATTTTAGGCTCCCTGAAGTGTTACAGGTTCTCTTGCAGTGCATTCTGTTAATGGCAGCAGTTCAGGTTGACTAATAAGCATCTCGGGTAAGTCCCTACTTGGAAGCTGTCTCCAGTTATACTTCTGAATGTGTTTGAAAGCATCCCAAGTAACTAATAAGACAAGAGGAAACAGCCTCAAGTTGTGCCAGGGAAGATTTAAATTGGACATTAGGAAAACTTTCTTTACTGAAAGGGTGGTCAAACATTGGACCAGACTGCCCGGGGAAGTGGTGGAGTCACCGTCCCTGGAGGTGTTCGAAAAACATGTAGATGTGGCACGTCGGGACATGGTTTAGTGGGCATGGTGGCATTAGGTCAGTGGTTGGACTTGATGATCTCAGAGGTCTATTCCAACCTTATGATTCTATGTTTATATGACTTGCTAATTTTCTTAGTCCTGAAATCAGTCACGTTCCCTCTATACCTTCACCTCTCACCTTAGACAAACCAACCCAGATACAAGAAATCTAACCCTGACACCCTGAGATGTTCCCGTGTTACTCCACTCTGCCTGTCAGGCAATTGCCCCTTCTCATCCTCTCTCCAGCACCATGCATCCTTCGTCCATCTGGTCTAGATCTCCCTTAGCTTTTGACACGCTTATTCATCTCCTCCCTGAAGGCTGAGGAGGAAGGCTCAGTCTCCCAGGGATGCTGGCCGGCATTACACCGTTTCAGCAGTGGAGCACACCATAAGCTGAGTGTACCATTTAGAGCAGGGGAAGGAGTGATTAGTAGCCTACTGTATGCATTGTAGCTATTTTCCATTTTCTTTCCTGACAGTCTTGAGGGCTCTATATTCCACAGTGCAGTGGTTTAACTGTTACTTTTTTTTTTCCTTTACATAAGGGAGAGATATTGCTTGATTTACCTAAAAGGCCAATGATGGCAGAATGGTGAATGCTTCTAATGTGCTAAGATAGACAAAGACGTAACAGTAGCAGAGTTAAAATTGACTTGTAGTTTAAAACATTGCAGCAAAAGTGTTTTTTAATCCTGAGTGAACAAAGCAAAGAGAAAGATCTAGACTGATGATAAATTGATGAGACCTGGGGTATGGGTTTTGGCCTGACTGCATGAGCTGCTGTAGATGGAAACGGAAACAATGAGATGAGTTGTTTCAGGTTGAGAATAAGCAACCAAAGCTGTTTCATAAGAGCGATGAAAAATAATTGATGAACCGCAAACAAGAAATAGACAGCTTTAAGAAATCATGATAGTGTGTCTGCACTGCTTGTCACTGCTTTCAAGAGATGAGTGATTTTTCTGGTGACAGTCTAGTTCTATATACATAGCTCATGTATTTCATCATTGCTTTTTACAGCAGTGTAAAAGCCAAGAAGATATAAATTAGTCTTCAGACCACCCCCTGAGTTCCAGAAAGGTCTGGTTGCATCCAGTAGTTTTAAGGAGAAACAGCAGTGGCAATCACTTGTGGTTCTGAAATATTTGTTACATATGCAGGCTGTTCTGCAACCTGATTTATGTATCCTTACTAGAATTAGAATTGTGAAATTCTTCTGGAGGTTGCACAGAATGTTACTTTCTGTTGCTTTAATTGGAGTTGTGTAAAGCTCTGATGGTATACAGTAAAGAGAATATTTTTCACTATCATGTGTCACTGAACAAGGGAAAAATTTGTTTGGTATGTTTTCAAGATGGTTGCATTGAGTTCTACAAACCATGGAAAAACTTATGTGCAAACATGTGACAATTTGTGCCTGTAGTGAAGCTGAAGTTATTAGCAACAACTTGTTGTAATTTAGCCTCTTTCTAATGGTTGCTTCCCCTGAGTCCCTTTGCTTTGTTGGATTCTGTAGGTATTAGTTAGCAGGTAGGTACATTTACTTGCTAGTTCTGAGTAAAATGAGCCAAATTTGTGATTTGAATAAAAAGATGACATAGTATTGGTGCTATTTCCTACCTGGATTGAGATAGGAACATCTGTACCTGAAGCGTGATTAAAACTATATGAACATGTAATGTTTGTTTTCTGAAAATACTTACTTTAAAGTCCTGGTTTTGAACATAATTGTCATCTTTTTTGGGGGGAACAATTTTTTTTGTAAGTGCTTGAATTTATTCTTCCTTCAGGGTGGGTACAGAGAGATCCTGAAGAGTTCCAACAACTTCATTCTGCAAGATTTTGAGAACAGGGTCAGAATGGAAGTTATATTTATTACAATCCATCTCAAGTAAAATAGAGGTGAAAATTCGCATATATGAACTAGTTCCTACAAGAAGCTTTTTCATCTGTGTTCTATACTACTTTACAAACTACATGTATGCTGATTCCTCAGCCTCAAAGATATTTCATTTGAACCCTTTTGGTCTCCTAAGCAAACTAGGGTTGTCGAAGTTTAGTTTATTCTTATGTCACTAAAAGTAAATGACCCCGACAACCCTCTTCCCCTAGAAAGATACAGCTGTCTTAGAGGTCTTTCAGCACTGTTCTTTTGAAGAAGAGACATTGTAATAGACTGTGGTGGGTTGACCATGGCTGGATGCCAGGCACTCCCCAAAGCCACTCTAGCACTCCCCTCTTCAGATGGACAGGGGAGAGAAAATATAACCGCAGGCTCGTGGGTCAAGATAAGGACAGGGAGATCACTCAGCATTTACTGTCACAGGCAAAACAGACTCGACTTGGGTGGAAAACCATAATTTATTACCATTAAATCAGAAAAGAGTAATGAGAAATAAAGCCAAATCTTTAGAACACCTTTCCCCTACCCCTCCCTTCTTCCCAGGCTTACCTTTATTCCCAGTTTCTCTACCTCCTCCTCCTGAGTGGCTCAGGAGGACAGGGAACGGGGTTGCAGTCAGTTCATCACTTGTTGTCTCTGCCCCCCTTTCCTCCTCAGGGGGAGGACTCCTCACAGTCTTCCTTTGCTTCAGCGTGGGCTCCCCCCCGTGGGAGACAGTCCTCCATGAACTTCTCCAATGTGAGTCCTTCACACAGGCTGCAGTTCTTTACAAACTCCTCCAGTGTGGTTCCCCTCCACAGGGTGCAGTTTTTCAGGAACAGGCTGCTCCAGCGTGGGTTCCCTGCGTGGTCCCAAGTCATGCCAGCAAACGTGATCAGGTGGGGGCTTCTCTCTGCACGGGGACACAGGTCCTGCCAGGAGCCTGCTCCAGCACGGGCTTCCCATGGGATCACAGCCTTCTCTTGGTGCATCCACCTGCTCCAGTGTGGGGTCCTCCACAGGGTGTAAGCAGACACCTGCTCCACCGTTAACCTCCATGGGCTGCAGGGGGACCGCCTGCCTCACCATGGTCTTCACCACGGACTGCAGGGGAATCTCTGCTCTGGCACCTGGAGCACCTCTTTCCCCTCCTTCTTCACTGACCTTGGTGTCTGCAGAGGTGTTGCTCTCTCATTCTCACTCCTCTCTCCTGCTGCAGTTGCCATTGCGCAGCTTTTTTCCCCCCCTTCTTAAATGCGGTGTCCCAGAGGCACTGCCACCATTGCCAATTGGCTTGGCCTTGGCCAGCAGTGGGTCCGTCTTGGAACCAGCTGGCATTAGCTCTGTCAGACACAGGGGAAACTTCCAGCAGCTTCTCAGAGAACCCACCCCGTAACCCCCCCCCATACCAAAACCTTGCCATACAAACCCATTACATAGACTTTTCAGGAAAGTGATCCTTTTCAGCCTTTGCTACTGAAATTTTATAATTTTTTCATTATAGATATATATAATGATTGAAGAATTGGGAAACAAAGGTAGAATATAGAACTGTTGGGCTTTTTTGTATTCCTAACAGCTGCAGGTAATACCGTTGCTAACTCTTTAATGTGACTTTGGGCAGCTCAGTGTTGTTGCTGTGGTTAGAATTCTCAATGTTAGGGGGGGTTTGCTCATGATACTGCTATTGGTAGCTTGTGGTTCTCACAGAATAATCTTGAAGATTGCTACCTATTTATTATAAAATTAAAAGACTATGGGGAAAACTTTTGGAATTTTCCAGGGACAGAGCATCTGGTACAATATTGCATCTCTAGTTACCGGTGAATTTTATTAGAGTCTTTTGTTTATGATTAAGAGGACATTGACAATGGTGAATTACTTATTTTGTGGCTTTTTTTTTATATACAGGTTGCTCAAGGAAGGAAATCACTGAACACTGGGAATGGCTTGAACAGAATTTGTTGCAAACTCTTTCAATCTTTGAAAATGAGAATGACATAAATACATTCGTCAGAGGAAAAATACAGGTAGTTTAAATATATTATTATAAATGTTGTTAATGGTAAGTGTGACTGGAAGGAAAACTGATGTGAATTCTGAAGAAATTTGACCTGGCTGTCACCAGCTGCTCCACCTTTTTGAAGGAAAACCAGATTCTAAGTAGCAACATATGTGTAACAATTAGGGGAAACTGGGATTATTGCATGCAACTACAGCAGTTTGATTAAAAAAATAATATATCTAAATATATAGGCAGGGCTTCAAACATTGTATGTTCTAAAATTAATTGCACTGATGCTTCTGTCTTAAATTTTGACAGTTTTCTATATAACTGCTCTTCCAATACAAAGCTTTAAATTTTTTTTTATGCATTCATTGTATAATGTCTCCTTACCCTCTTCTGTGTAGTTAGATCCTGTAGCGTTGGCACTTACACTTCATTATAGGTGTTAGGAGTTGCTGGTCAATTTTTTTATTTGTTTGTTTTTTGGTTGGTTTTACCAGAATTTCTTTTCTCCTTATAGGACAGATAGTAGCTATATGGGCAAGAAGTATTTTATCCACACAAAGAGTTATCTAAAAATAAATATTTTGGTAAAAGACTGATTGTAAGCAAAATTACTGTACTTAACTTGGTGTGTGTTCTAAGCATTGGCTTTGTCTCTTTCCTCTTTTAACATTTCATGTAGTAAGTCAGCGGTCTTAAGAATCCCGTAGTTGTTTGTGTTTTACTAGCGAATCAAGTATGAGGGCTGTAGATGATCATGGAAGCACCTTATGTTTGTGAAATATAATCCTTTAATGAAATTGTTACTTCATAGAGTTGGACAAATATTAAATGTGAATTATTGTTCACTGTCTTATACTCTGCTTTCCATGTAAATATGGAGCAATTTGAAGGCAAGATGTCACTTTACTTCTTTTAACTTTAATATAGAAGGCAATAGTGAAGGTTTATGGAAGAGATTGGGGAAAATAAGTGACTAGACCAGAACTTCAGTATAGAACAGAAGGAGCTGTATAGCCTTTGGTGAAAAGCTGCCCTTTGATACCTCAGACTGCTGCCACTTAAAATTTGATGAAGGTCACCTGCACCTGAAAGTGTGAAGGATCTTTCCATCCTGCCAGTTAATCTAATAGGAGATACTTTTTTTTTTCCCCCGTTGTTCTTTTCTTTTGCTCAAGGCCTACTAAGAGGGGTCAGAAAATTAATTTAATATTTTCCCTAATGAATAGCAGATCCTTTTTTCCTTTTACCTTTTTCCTTCCTTTTAGAAGAATTTTCTGGCGAAATCCTATCCCCTATGCTCCTCAGGGAGCATATTTGCATGGAAGGGGATAATATTACAAATCATAGCTGCTTTACAGAGTTGTTATGAGTATTTGAGAGAGGCTGGTTAATTTAAAACAAGGTACTGGCAAGTGATTGGTGTTTGCTTTTGACATAGGCATGGTAGGGAGCAAGGTCATCAGAAAGGCAGCCTTGAATAAATAACTATATAAACAAAAGAATGAGCAGAAGAATGAGATGAGCAAAAGACTTTCCTGACATTGCAGTAACCGTTGTGGCCTCTGGCCCAGATAGCAATGCGAACAAGGATATATGATACCCCATGGCAACTAACATGCTGTGTACTTCTTTCACTCCCTACTAGGGCATCATTGCTGAGTACAACAAGATCAATGGCATCAAGGAGGATGACGATACCGAAAAATTTAAGGAAGCCATAGTGAAATTTCACAAGCTATTTGGGATGCCAGAAGAAGAGAAATTAGTGAACTACTACTCCTGCAGTTACTGGAAGGGGAAGGTTCCTCGTCAGGGCTGGGTGTATCTCAGCATTAATCACCTTTGCTTTTACTCTTTCCTTATGGGCAGGGAAGGTATGTTTTACAGCGGAGAAGTGATCTGTGCTTCTAAGAATTGTTAGGGAATCTTCTGTAGTTTGTTACTGTTCATCTGCTGAACTGCTGGGGGTGCAAAGACACTGCTGAGTAAAAGAGAAACAGGCAGCAAGTCCCTGATTGCCACGCTGCTATCTGTGCGCTTGTTCCCTTGTTTGTTTTGTATTTCTCAAAGTAGTTCTCTGTAAAAGAATACCTGGGCATTATTTAGAGGCATGGTTCACTTCAGGGACTGTGCCCAAGAGGGAATGAGATCACACCAGTTTTGGCTCCTGCTCTTATGCAGTCCTCAAGTACTACTGTGGCAGACTTTGCAGCCTCAAATGCCACACTTAATCTTGTACAACACGAGAGCATCACAGGGGGCTCAGAGGAGACCCGGGATCAAGAACTACATAGTGTGGATGCAACCAGTCTGCTCTAGAGGGGAGTTAATTCTAAGCAGTGTAGAGGTGAGCGAGTCTGCAGCACTTGTTCATGGGCAATCGATCAGTCCCAGGTCTTTCTGTTTAGCTGCATAGACCTATCCTAGTGAATGACTGGATTTTTTTTTTTGACAAAAATATGTGTAGATTTAGTCCCTGTTTAAGGACAATATTCTAATCTGTAGTGCCGTCAGAAGAAAAGCCAAGGATCTGTCATTACTCTAATATTTGTAGTACTGTAAAATTTGTGAAACTTTTTAATGTATAAAAAGAACGCAGGCCTGTCTGGTATGTTTGGGCTACATTTCTTTGCTTCCATAGGAAAAGAGGACATCAGAGTCTGAGCAAGTGCTGTGGCAATGATAAACTACGTTAGCCCACCTAGTTTTGTAATGCTTTTGTGTTCTGTACAGAAGTAAATGCTATTTAAACTCTTATCTGCTGTTTGTGAGGTGATCATAGTTTGTTTGTACAAGCTGGGTCTGTTTGTGCTGTCCTCCCACCTTCTCAAGATGCAGGAAAATTTTGGCTGAATACATTTTGTAGGAAGAGAAAGATAAATGCTTTCAAATGTGATAATTTTTGTACTGAATCTTCTTTTTGTTTGCTTCTCTTCAGCAAAGTTAGTTATCCGCTGGGTCGATATCACTCAACTTGAGAAGAATGCTACTCTGCTCTTCCCTGATATGATCAAAGTGAGCACAAGGTCAAGTGAACATTTCTTCTCAGTATTCCTTAATATCAGTGAGACATTTAAACTGATGGAACAGCTTGCCAATATAGCTATGCGACAGCTTTTGGACAATGAAGGATTTGAACAAGACAGGTCATTACCCAAACTGAAAAAGAAGTCCCCCAAAAAAGTGTCTGCACTAAAACGGTAGGTAGCACTGGCTCTTAGTCGTTTCTTCTCAGTCCTTTTACTTGAAGCACTTTGTCCAAAAGTTCTCTAATGTTGCTGCTGTTTACTGTTACTTCAAAAGGAATGATTGATTCCAGTAGTGGCAAAATGTGGATAATTAGTTAAAATATAATTACTTGGTCTCTTGTTGAAATAGGAAAGGGAAAACGTTTGAATATGAACATGTTGCAAAAATAAACATTTGAGCCAAATTCTCATTTATTCAGGAGCTCTTTAATTTATCTCTTGACACTGGCTGCATTAGGTATCTGTTGTAAAGCCCTTTTATGTTACCAGGAGAAGGTAATAAAGCAATTTAAGTGTTCCTAAGAAATGTGCCTAAAGTTCATGCTTCCTATAACTGGAACGGAAAAATTACTCTAGCTAATGAATTATCCCTAAAACATTTTAGGTAACAGAGATACAAAAAATGACGTAAAATTCTAAGGGATAAAAAAAATACCTGGAAAATATTTCTGCTTCTTTTATAGGTATCATACTGCAATTTGATAGTTTCTTGTTAATTTTTCATTATTTTATATGTTGGTCATGTTAGTGAACCATACAGAACCTGTGCTTGTTTATATTTCTCATTACTTAGTGACACCTGACATGCATTATATCATTTAGGTTTGTCTTTCCAACTATTTAATGTTTTGCACTGTGCATTTTCAAGACTAGGTTTTGAAATTGTTAACAAACTCTAGCCCAAGGGATTTCATCATGTTAATAAATAAGCCTCAGAGAAGCATTTTTGGTGCGTTACTTGGGGTCATACATTATTTAATAATAATTTAATAATAAAGGGATTCACCATATATATTCTCAGAAAGCAGGGCTGAATGTGAAAAGATCACCCAACCTGTCCCGCCTGAGAAGTCAGGATGAATGTATCTAAGTTGTTCCTGGCAGAATTTTTTTTCACGTAGTTTTAGAATCTTTCAGCAGCAGAGACTATACATCCCCTATATGCAAACTATTTCCACTGTTTGCTGTACACTCAGTGCTTAATTGAGTTGTATGTTGGGGGTTACTTGCAATGATTTGTATAAAATATATCTTAAAATGTATTATGTATTTCTTAAAACAAGGAAAGCTTTCTGTGGGGTTTTTTTTTTTAGGGATCTTGATGCCAGAGCAAAGAGTGAGAGATACCGTGCATTGTTCCGACTTCCCAAGGATGAGAAATTAGATGGACACACAGATTGTACTCTCTGGACTCCATTCAACAAAATGCATATTTTGGGTCAGATGTTTGTTTCTACAAACTATATTTGCTTTACTAGTAAAGAAGAGAACTTATGCAGCCTTATTATCCCTCTTCGAGAGGTAAATATTTGTGTTTGTAACTTTACAGGGCAAATAATAAAGCAATATCCTATTGGAAATTGCATCCTAGCTTTGATGTTCTTTTCATTATTGGTGAAAAACCTGTTTTCATCCCTTTAATCTCTTCTGAGCATATATTCTGATGTGTTCTAAGTCATATTTAATGACTGTGTGTCTTACTTCAAAGTTCCTACTACTGAAATTCACAGGGAGTTTTCTCTGTCAGTTTTTACAACCCTCATGAGTCCTTCCTTTCCCATAATTTATATTCTGATTTACAGCCCTATGGTACATTTTTTGTGCCTCATAGGGAGGGGCGGACAATAAAACTTCATAGATTGATGAGTGGAACTTCTATTAAAGAATCTGTCAGATAAGATTTGCTTTTGTCAGATATAAGAAGATTGATAATCCTAAAGATCTGGATTCTCTTCACACAGCCTTGCAATCATTTGTTCCTGTATATGGAAAATATTTGTCAGCATTTTACAAATTGGTGTGTTTCTCTTTTTAAAAGCTGGCTGCTTAAAAGAGATGTTCAGTAAAAAGAATGAAGTTTGATGGAATAAAAAAAATGATGCTGGGGAGGTTTTTTGACTTGATTTGTGGGTTAATGGAAAAATGTGTAAAGTAAGTCTTGGAAATAGTAGCAAAGCTAATGTAACCAAGGACAGTTTGCTTGACTAAAGAACCATGGAGTATTTCAAGGCACTGTTTTCCCCCTCAATCACTAAGAGTAAAATCAAATGGTATTTGTTTGGTAACTTTGAAGTACAGCTTCTCCACGGTGTGTTGCAATGACTTTGGTTGTTTGAGAAGAGACATTCAGTTATAGTTGCAGTGTTTGTCTGAAACTCCAAGGCAGCAATGATCCTCCAGGTAAAGCGGTGGTGGTGAAGGAGAATAAAGTCTGCATTTAATAGGACCTCTTTTCTTGGATGCAGATTCAGCAACTGCTTTTGATAACCACAGCCGCAGCAGCGTGGGATTCGAAGCAAGTCTAAAGCTTCAAGAGAAAGAAATAGCTGGAGGAATAAGTGCTTTAGTGTGAACAGGTTAAATCTCAGCACCGGCAAGGAGAACAGTAACACACTGGGGTAGCAACAGTCCTCAGAACAACTGATCAGTACCCTTAATAATTAAAGGGAAGCTTTCTGTTTAATTAAAACTTTGGGTCAGACCCTAACCTAGTTCCAGTATTCTGCGATATCCTGGAGATGGTTTGACAGATGAGACAATAACAAAACATTGATTCAGAAATAATGATTGGAAAAAAAATGGTTGTGGCTGACTGCACTGCTCACTGCACCCAGTAGGTGCAGCCTCCAAGATCAGCACTTCAGATATGTGCGTGTGTCTGCTTGAATAAGAAATAAGCGGATATGGGCTCTCGTTATAGTAAAGCATTCTTGCTGTAATGTCTGTCCTGTGCCTCTAGAACTTGTCTGTCTGTCTGTGCTGATTACACCCAAACAGTTTTTAATCGGAACAGAAAAATGACATAGGAACACTTTTTAGCTAATTTTAATATGCTATTAGTGAACGTCCTTTAAGTTAATGAACAATGAACAGATTTGTAGTTAACAGAAAAATAAAAAGAAGTTGGAAGGATAGAGAAGTGATTTAGCACCTGAGCTGTGCATTGCAGTCTTTAAATACATCTTCAAAGAAAATGTGTGAAAAATGGTTATCCTATCCTTTTAGCTAGAGATATATTAATATTTATAGCAGTAATATCTTACCATTGATCTCTATTTTTAAAAGGTTAAAAAGAGCAAAAGTAAAGGTCCTAGTAAACTGAAATGTGCCACCGTCTATTCTGAAGGCAGTAAGACAGTTTTCATTACCTAGGAAATTGTTACAGAAGTCACAAAAGCAGTGGTTAAAAGTACTTACAATTGTGATTTGTGTTTTGGTCGATGTATGAACTGCCCAAACTTGATTCGTTGGTTTATTTGTTTTTAAGGCTAATTGGTAATGTTTAGAACACACAGCTGTTACCCACAGTGTTTGACATCCCTGAGATTTCTTTGTGTTAATGTGCTTTACCAAAACCTCGGGGAACTAGTGCCCTGTACTCGGTAGATTGTAGTATGAGTGCTGTTTACAGGTTGGAGTTCAGTTAGATTAGTGACCATTTCACTAACAATTGGAACCTCCACCTCACAGGGTTGTATGTTTTCCTTTGTAAGGAAAGATGCGGGGTTAGTTTCCCTTTGTGCAGGTTTCTGCATACGGCCTAAATACAGTTGCAATAACAGTTATCACAGTATGCAACTATATTAAAGTAGAACAGAAGTGTTATCCCAAAAATGGCTTGTTCACATATACTGGCAATAAAAAGTAAGCAAAAGTCTCCGATTCAGCCTGTACTGGTGTTAGAGAGCAGGAGAGGGATTTGGAGGTCCTACAAAAAAGCCCATAGATGTGCATCCCATAGAAGAAATTTTATTTTACTGATTCTTTTAAAATAAAGCCTGAGGAAAATAAACTAAGCAGTGCAAAGGAATTTTGCTGGATAATGTACTGAAGCCAGTTATTTGAGGGATGACAGTCTTCATCTTTCAGACTTGGAAGTCCTTGTATCCAAATCCTGTTTTCCTGCAGAGGGATGTCAGTAGTGATTTGATATAAGGGCGGAAGGAGCATGGGTTTATTGTATTAAGATGGTTTCTTAGACCAAGCCACTTGATTAATTAAAGATCTTAAACTGTAGCTACTGTTTCTCCCTAGGTGACAATAGTGGAAAAGGCAGACAGCTCCAGTGTGTTGCCCAGCCCGTTATCAATCAGCACGAAAAACAGAATGACGTTTCTCTTTGCCAACTTGAAAGACAGAGACTTTCTTGTACAGAGGATCTCAGACTTTCTGCAACAAACTACTTCAAAAATATACTTGGAAAAAAATATTTCTGGAAGCTACATCAGCTCAGATGATGAGGTATGTGGAGGAACATGAATGCTTTACTAGAAGAGAGGGATTACCTCTCTTGTGTTAATACCTTTAGCTTCCTTAAGCTGAACAGTTAAAAATGTTACGATTATGATAGCTATTTTTTTCGTGTTAGACCTAAGAGAACTCACCATTGCTGGGGGGGGTGTGGGAAGCTGTTGAGAAACTGGAAGCGATTTCATTATTCTATACTGGTTTAATTTCTGCTGTTATGTGCTCAGTCTGTGAATGTACTTGGGTGATTTAATTTGCTCAGATTTTGTTAGCTGTTAGCATGGATAAATTTTGAAGTAAAAAGTCCAGACTCTGGCTCAGCCCTGTGTCGGTATTGCTTATGACTGCTTTCTACAGGTTTTTACAAGATCAAGTAGTTTAATTTCTGCCAGCCCTCATAAAAGCCTCAGCTCTGAGTCGGAGGGAGAGCGACAGTTCAATCTCAATGACAATGGCATTCCCACAGCAACTCAAGCTTTAATGACGATGTATCGGCGGAGGTCACCTGAGGAGTTCAACCCCAAGCTGGTAAAATACACCTCGGAGTGCTGTATCTGACTGAAAAAGTTGTTAAATTATGTTATCTTTAAAACCCATGTTTCTGACCCAGAAGAGTTTCATTGTGCCACACAAGATTAAAAGGCAGTATTTTTCACAGAAATAAAGCATTGAACATGCTGCTGTTTTACCAATGCAAACAACTTCACCGCATAAAAAAAGCGAAGTTGGATGTGAATCAAGGAGAGGTGGTATGCCTGCTCTTAAGTACAACTGCTTCAACAATATTCTTTTAACGGTAAGGTCTACTGGGATAGAAACTAAGAGATGGGAGGAGGCAGCCCATTAAGAAGAGGATTGGACTGTGGCCAAGTTATTTCTTGCTTGCTTGAGAAGTTAGGATGTTGCAGGCTTTTTAGCACTTAGCATTTCAATGGAGCAGAGTGTTAGAAAGAGAAGCAGCATCTTTATGCCTGCCTTTTTTGCTTTTAGGCTAAAGAGTTTTTGAAGGAACAAGCCTGGAAGATTCACTTTGCTGAATATGGCCAAGGAGTCTGTATGTATCGTACAGAGAAAACCAGGGACCTTGTGCTGAAGGGCATTCCAGAAAGTATGAGAGGGGAACTTTGGCTACTATTTTCAGGTGGGTATTCATTTGAATGTGACTGTGAGATACAAGCAAAAGTGTGAGGGAAGAAAGAATTTGAAGTGTCTAAAATTATTTGGAGCAAGTAAGGCTGTGGTAATTAGCAGGTGCCAGACTGGTTTAGACAAGAGTTGTGTTTAGACCAGTAAATATCCTTTCTCAAACAGGCTCAGATAGGGAAGAAAATAAAAAAGTAGAACACCCACTCTGTTATCAGTATTCAGTTATCAGAAGCTATCAGTCTAGGGGCTTCTAGATGTTCAACAACCACCAGCAGGCCTGCTTCCCATTTGTTTAGTCATTTCTGAATCCAGTTAAGCTTTTGGCCTTTGCAGCAAATTGTTGCAAGGAATTCCAAAGTTTAAGCGTGTTGCATGGAACCACTTACCTTTTTGTTGGTGGTGGTGATAAAAAAAAAGTTATTTATAATTAACTGCTCCCAGTATGTGAAAAATGGTGAGAAAATATTTCTATCCATCTTCTGTGCCATCAAGGATTCTCTAGATCTGTGTCTCCTTAGGCTTTTTTTCAAAGTTGAAGAGTATTATTAATTTTATTACTAGTTGTATGGAAATCGGTCCATGCCTCAGGCTTTCTTCATAACCTCTCATTTACTGTATGCCTTCTGTAGTTCTGCCCCTCCCTGAGATAGTTACCACAGCTACCCATACCATTTAGGATGTGAGCACACCAGGGACTTCATATGATGACCTGATGATGCTCTCTGGTTTGTTTTCTATTTCTTCCCTGATAATGCTTAATCTTGTACATCTTCTCTTTGCTGCTGGACA